CATAGCTTGACACCCTTCCCCCAAGAGGTAAGAATCTATTATGCAACAAGCAAGGATAACAAAAGAACAGGGGCTCATGAGAGGGGTAACAAAATAAGATCATGCAGTTACATAGGTGAGCTATGTGTTCAGTTTGATGGGTCTGAATCATTTAGAAGTTTTTTGTTTTATTAATAATTAAATAAGTCTGCTAGCTCCAATTGCCCTCTAGTGTAACCATTACTAGTTGGTTCGTGTTTGATAGGAATCTCAGTGGAGGTGGAGAAAAAGGCCTATCAGGTTGCCTACTGACAATGCTAGGAGAAAGAAAGTACAGCAGGCTCTCCCTGCAATTGTCAGAGGGGGTAGCAGGCTGCTATAGCTCACCACCAAGAAAGCAGGATCACATAGGAGGAGCCATTGCCTCTTGGGAAAAGAAGTTTTGTGGGGAGGAGGGCTGCAGGACCTTCCAAGGCTGGGATTGTTCAAATGATTATCCAAGCTACAAAAATTAAACCTGGACTCAGACCTTTTCTGAAGTTTTCCCCCTCACTCTCTGTGAGGTTTGTTCAACTTTCTACACCGAGAATCCTACTTTATATGCAAACTCCATAAGGATGGTGACTGAAGGTTGTTGCTCCCTTAGTGTAACTACCAGAAGTTAATCAGTACTGAATGGAGAAATGAGTCCTTTCTAGAGCGGTGGCAGCAAAGAGTGGGTGGTTGACTCTGAATCTGATCAGTTTCCAAAATGAATTTTCAGTGAAAATAAAAATAAACTCTATCTCGAGATATTTCAGGAAGCCCATCCTTTTTTCTTAGAAGCATAGAATCCTAGAAGATTATGGTTGGAAGAGACCTCAGGAGGTCATCTAGTCCAACCCCCTGTTCAAAGCAGGAACATCCCCAACTAAATCTTCCCATCATCTTATACTTGTGTTTTGAATGCGAGTTCTTGTATCTATGGTGAAAATTTTGAAAAATGAAATTTTTTTTGCAAAAAATGCCTGCTTTCCATGGAAATTTTTTATTTTTTGTCAAAAAAGAAAAAAGAATACCTGAACACCAAAATATTTCAGTTTGAATATGCTACCATGGTACCTTATGGAAGTTGTAGTTTGGTTTCCTCATGTCTCCATTCTCCTCTATGGGCTGTGCTCCTCAGCTGAACTATATCTCCCATTATGCACCATAGCCAGGGACCATAGCCTCTGCTCAACAAGAGGAGAGACAGTGGTGCATTATGGGAGATGCAGTCCAACCCTGAAGCCTAACCTATTCAAATGGAAGCAGGAGGTACCACAGCAGCATTTCTGAATCAAAATATTTTGATTTCCCCCCACCCCTCGAAAAGAAGAAATTTCCAGAGAAATCACTTCCATTTTCTGTCTAGGCCTAATATTAATGTAAAAAATGGCTAAACAGTATAGTAGACATGCAACATCTTCTGCTGTTGCATGCTCCCTGCTAGCATTTACGCTGTGTGGCTCCCAGGAAGGAGCCGGCATGTCCCCACTCCAGCTCCTAGGCGTAGGGTCAGCCAGGGGGCTCTGCACGCTGCCCCCACCCCAAGTGCCACCCCCAGAGCTCCCATTGGCTGGGAACTGCAGCCAATGGGAGCTGAGGGAGCAGCACCTGTGGATGGGGCAGAGCCGCCTGGGCTCGCCTCCATGTAGGAGCTAGAGGGGTGACATGCCGCTGCTTCCAGGAGCTGCTTGAGGAAAGCACCATCCAGAGCCTGCACCCCTGCATCCTCCGGCTCCCCAACCCCCTGCCCCAGCCCTAATCTCCCTCCTGCCCTCCGAACCCCTCGATCCCAGCCCGGGACCCTCCTTTACCCCACACCCCTCATCCCCAGCCCCACATCAGAGCCTGCACCCCCAGCCAGCGCCCTCACACCCCTGCACCCCAACCCCCTGCCCTAGCCCAGAGCTCCCTCCTGCACCCGGAACCCCTAATTTCTGGCCCCACCCCGAACCTGCACCCCCAGCCCATACCTCCTTCCACACCCCAACCCCCTGCCTCAGCCTGGAGCTCCCACCCATACTCCGAACCCCTTGTCTCCACCCCTAGCCCAGAGCCCCCTCCTACACCCCAAATCCCTCATTTCTGGCCCCACCCCAGAGCCTGCACCCCCAGCCAGAGCCCTCACCCCCTCCTGCACCCAAGCCCCCTGAGCCAGCTCAGTGAAAATGAGCGAGTGAGTGAGGGGGGATGGAGTGAGCAGGGCCTTGGAGTCGGGCCTCAGAGGAGAGGTAGGGCAGGGGGCAGGGCAAGGATGTTCAGTTTTGTGCAAATAGAAAGTTGGCAACCCTAATTGTAGCTGTGGCTATGCAAATAAGATAACATACAGTTAATATGCTAATGCTTGTGTTAAGCAGGCCCAACAGAGGCCTGAGCAGAGTCAAGCTGAGATGACAGCTCATGTGGTTAATATAAGTGATGTGCCCCTCTCTGACCAATCTACCTCCTGAGTGCTAACTAAATGTTACAACTACTGTAAAGGGACATTTTAGTCCAGTACACAAACTTCATTATAAACCTAGATATACAGTACCAAAATCTGTTCTGAGTCACACCAGTTTATGTTGGAGTAATTCAAATTCTTTATGTAAAAGCATAATAAAAGCTCCCAGATGTCACCACATGAAGGTGCAAACTGCACTGGGACCAATGTCCACCAGGAGAATTCAATGTAGGTGGTATTTCTTCCACTGGGGGCTCTCTGGGAGTTCTGCTAGCTAGTGGAGGCAGCTGAGGAGATGTGCTGATTCACAGCATCTCTCCATCCCCAATTGCTTTGGCAATACGCCTTCCCTGGCCTGCAATGTACATTTTTTGGCTGGTGGCTGAGGGGTTTTGGTGCTATGTGCTGCTGCATCCCTACTCCCATGGATTGACTTTCCATTACAGGGGCCTATTCCACTATGTTGGTGGAAGCTGGCACAGACCCTAGAATAAGTTCCCAGAGAAGGCTGTTGAAGCCTAAAGCATAAATTAGTAAAAAATGGAGCTAGATTTGTTTCCTTAGAAAAAGGGGATTAAGGGTTACAATTATGCAAAACAAAAAACCACCTACACAAGAAGGTACAATTACAATAGACCAATTAAAAGCATATATGTGTGTGGAGCAGTAGGCTTTTTCCTGTTCCTAAAAGTTCTATGCTGTGGGCACAAGTTAGAATGCTGCAAAAGGGACCACAGTTTCTGGGTGATTGCTTATCTGTCTGAAGTTGACATATTAGTTCTACGTAAAGGACATTTTATAAAATATTTGAGAACATTAGGAACAACCCAAAACATGAAGAGTTGAATTCATCCCTGCTTCATTCCAGTTTTATGTCAGTAGTTCTCCAGTGATTTATCATTCAGGAGGTGTGTAACATACATCTGAGAGAGGGTGCACTGGATGGGGGAGAAATGATAGCAATAGGAAAAGCAACTGAAAGGAGGATGTATGTTAGAGTGGGGCCTGCTGTATATTACATCTTCCTATTATTTTCTGCCTGCTATGCCTCTCATTTCACCCCTTACTGTATACATTACACTTACGTTGCACATCCATTGACTGCCAAGTCACTGCGAATTACTCTAATTTATCTCTTGCATCTACTTACAAATATTTTCTGGCCAGCTGACACCATCATTTATGTTATTTGGCCTAGAGACCTCCCTGGAAGTTGGGTTTACTCCAGAGTGAGGGATAGATAGATCCTCAGCTAGTGTAACTCAGCATAGCTCCACAGAGCTAAGGCTCTAGCCCTGAATTTGACCCTCATATCTTCCTGCATTTAATTTTGCTTTAAGGGGGGGAGGGGGGAAACTAATGGTCGACCTGGTTGACATGTATCTTTTTATAAGCTATGAAGTGTTTTACTACAAAAGACCAAAAATAGACACACTTAGAAATCAGTATATTTAATTTTGGAAGCATAACTTTCTGCTCGAGTAACTTTGTTGCAAAGTTACATAAGGGAAGGGACTGGTAACTTGTCATTATATGCAACACCTACTAAAGTGCCTTGCAAATTGTGCTATAATAGGATTGTGTAACAGATGAATTCAGCTGCTCTTCTAGGCATAACAACTCTGAAAAATATCCGTTATCAAAATACTCCATCTGCTGGATACAGGTTGAAATGCAACCATTGGAACCTTTAGGAACTGCCCAGCAGTATTTAAAATATGAACTTCTGTTATGGTGGTGCTCAGGGTAAGCAGATTTAAAGGAAAACTGTAATTTATGTTAAAAATTTTTGAATCTCTTCATATAATTACAAAGAAGAAACAACTTAGAAGCACTCATATATTTATATTTGACACAAACAGTAAGCCACCATCTTGCCAGTCTGCTGATTTAAGCCTAGATCGTGCCATTAAGCCACAGCATGTTAGGGTGCATACAGAGGTCCACACTGCAGTGGAAGTCTTGAGAGAAATTTTGGCCAGTTCAAACATTATCCCTTATGGGCACCAGCTGGCTTTCTTTTTGTGGAGCCTAGTGTTAGCTGTGGCATAAATATTGTGCAGTACCTGTACATCCCAGCCTTGCTGGCCCCTCCACAATTTTGCACTTGTGTGCAGAAGTCCCATGCTCATGGCTAATTTTAAAAATATTTATCTCAGTAGGTGGTCTAGAGCTCCTGCACCTCCAAAATTACCACCTCACTTAATGCCTCTTTGAACCTGTGTTCTGTCTTTGTTCATAACACACTGTAGAACCCTAACCACAAGATAGAATTAGAATCCACCAAAGCCTAACATTGCTATTCTTGAATTAATGTGTTCAAAGGAGTTGCATGGGTGTAAACGAAGGTAGAATTTGGCCATGAGCTTGAAGTGGGGGAGCCTTCTGTTAACATCTATGCAGAAAATACCCATCCAGGTGATAGCAGTCCTAGGTATTAGATGTCAATATATCTGAGCACACTTCCATTACATGTCTGAGTACAACACTGCTGCACCTCTCCGTTGTAAACAATGGCACTGTTTGCTTTCTCATCATACCCTCTTCTCCTTACCTTCTTGTGTTTGTAGTAGTGAAGGCAGCCATCATGTTTCAGCACAAACCATCTCTTCCTCCAGCCCTTCAGTATCCCTGAGTGAGTTCGCTTGTGCAAATATCCTCGACATGTTGGCCTGGGAGTGTTGGGGCAGCGGCTAATGTCTGATCCAACCAAGAGGGTCAAGATATCAGGGCCTGAAATTTTTCATTACAAATATTTGAGAGTGGAGCAGAACTGGAAATAACAATTAAACTAAACTAAAAAGTGTATCCTTCTTCCTTGTAGAAATATAAAACAAGGAATGAACAGAAAAAAAAATCTGAACTCATTTTGTACTGGAGACAGCACGGTACCTTCAGGACCCAGTTTCCAAAGAAGCCCCTAAAGTTAGGCCTGCACATTTTTCATGTGTACCTGTATGTGGTTGCAAAGCCTACATTTGAGGGGAAAAGCTGGTAACTGCATATATACCTGAAGGGGACACTTGTAAGTCCAAATCCAGAGTCCAAATGTGAGTGCACACAGAAATGTTCTGGGTGCAACTTAGGAGGCTCCTGTGAAACTTTAGCCTTTAATCTCTTAAATATGTTCCTTGGGAATTCTTTCTTTGCATGTAGGGGTCCTCCTGGATTGCCACAACTTCTGTATCAACCATCCTCCAGGCTATGGAGTACTGGATATGTGCCCCATGTGCACTGTCCCTGCCCCCCCCCCGGCTCCTTAGCTGGCTGATGGGAATTGCTCAAAAGTGATGTTAGACTGCTAGGCTAACTGAAAATATGTTTGCATGATCAGATTCTCCTATGCTATGCTATGATACTATTTTACAATAATCATACAATATCTTGATGTTATCAGCACATGCATGTATTTACCCCCAAAGACCTGAAATCCTTATTACACAGATGGAACGTCTAAGCAGCACTGGGATAGACAGCAATCCCTAAAAAACCTTGAAAGCTATGACTATGACACATTTTCATTTGCAAAATGTTTGCTGTTAAGGCTGCATCTTTTTATGGTGACAGTTGATGTTGGAAATACTGCTGTTAAGCCAAAATTCAGACCATGGGGAGTTTCCTTGGGTGAGTTAAACACCCTCCCCCCGCACCCCATGAACAGGAATTTATCCAGGAAACAGCTGGCACACTCTTAAATTTAACAGTATGAATCAGTCCTCTATATTTAAAGAGCTTGCTATGTGTCAAGATAATTTTGACACTGTGTTGTAAAAATATTTCAATTTACTGAATTTCCCTTGAGCCCCTATCAAAATCATATGTGGGAGAATTAAAAGGACTACAGCAGATTAACTCTCAACATGCAAACATGGATGTATTTTGGTTTTAGTCACTACTGCTACAGGAAAAATATGAATGACTATTATCACTGACAATTTGTTTCTCCAAAACGCTGTGCCCTGAAGTAACCTTTCTGCTGTCCGTTCTAGACCTGGATCCCCAGTAACAAAGATATTGCTGATGGCTGCATAGAGCCAGACTGTGAATTTCCCCTGTGAGGAAACATCAGACATAAATAGCATATTGGTGTCTCAGAGGCCCCTGTCAGCAGACATCTCTCTTTGAGGCATGAGCCCCAAAAGCAATATCACAGAATGTGCTCTTTGTCACATGACATTTTAGCTCAGGTTTTAATTATAGTAGAAGTAGATAATATAATATTAGCATCTAGAGCAAAGAGAAAATTGGGGTCTTTTATCTAAACCATATCTTTATCTTGTCATCTCATTGTACCATCAGGTTCCAACTCCACTCATATCACACCCCAATGTCAAACTCACACACCCATAGACAGTAGAAATAGAATACAAAGTTCGTCTTCTTTCTAAATATTAGGAGAATCAAGCTTGTACTGTTTTCAAACATCACAGGAGTGGAGATTTTAACACTTGTCTGAGCTTCTCTCTGTGATTTGCTACTTCTCTCTCTCATTTTAATTACAGAATGCACTCACTAACAATGAGACATTTGCAAAACATTCTTCTGAAGGGCATAAACAATGCAGACATAAGAACATAAGAATGACCATATTGGGTCAGACCAATGGTCTATCTAGCCCAGTTTCTATTTTATGACAGTAGCTGGTGCCAGAGGCTCCAGAGGGAACAAACAGAACTAGGGCAGTTACTGAGTGATCCATCTGCTGTCATCCAGCCTCAGCTTCTGGCAGTCAGAGATTTACAAACCCCCAGAGCATAGGGTTGTGTCCCTGACTGTAACAGCAATTGATGGACCTATCCTTAATGAATTTATCTAATTCTTTTTTGAACCCAGTTATACTTTTGGCCTTTACAACATCCCCTGGCAACAAGTTCCACAGGTTGACTGTGTGTTATGTGAAGAAATACTTCCTTTTGTTTGTTTTAAACCTGCACCTATTAATTTCATTGGGTGACACTTGGTTCTTGTATCATGTGAAGGGGTAAATAACACTTCCTGATTCATTTTCTCCACACCCGTCATGATTTTATAGACCTCTCTCATATCTCTGTTCAGTAGTCTCTTTTCCAAGCCGAACAGCCCCAGTGTTTTTAATCTTTTCTTGTATGGAAGCTGTTCTATACCCCTAATCATTTTTGTTACTCTTCTTTGTACTTTTTTTTCCTAATACTAATATATCTTTTTATTGAGATGGGGTGATCAGAACTGCATACAGTATTCAAGGTGTGGGTATACCATGGATTTATATAGTGATATTGCGATATTTTCTGTCTTATTATCTATCCCTTTCCCAATGGTTCCTAACATTCTGTTAGCTTTTTTAATTGCTGCTGCACCTTGAGTGCATGTTTGCAGAGAACTATCCACAATCACTCCAAGTTCTCTTTCTTCAGTGCTAACAGCTAATATAGACCCCTTTATTTTGTGTATATAGTAGGGATTATGTTTTTCAATGTGAATTACTTTGCATTTATTAACTCTAAATTTCATCTGCCATTTTGTTGCTTAGTCACCCGGTTTTGTGAGATCCCTTTGACAGCATACTACCTCCTCGGACAGATCCTTAACTTGTGCCATTTATCTTTTACCCCAATATTTTGTTTAAACAAAATTATCTGTTTTCAAACAAATATTATAGTCTATTCCAGAAAAGTCCAAAATATGTCATAGCAGCAATATTTTGAAGCAAATTTTAAAAATATTTTTTTAAAATCAGCTTCCCTTTTCTCTCATTCTTTAACTGTGAAAAATTTGTTTGGTAAACTGACTGAATAAATGAGAATAATTTTGCCTGTTTGTCCATTTCCCCATATGTTTTGGTAAGGCCTAGACAAACAAGCGACTCTACACTCAATTTAGAGGGTTGACATTTTAAATTGCTAATTAAGTTTTCTATGATGTCTATTCACTACTGTACTCTCAGCACTGTATGATGATCCTGTCTCATGGAATTAATGATGAGGTCAAGCTTACCCTTTCTTGCCAGATTTGCAGCTTGTGAATGTGGCATGCTGGTGACGTCGGTTCCATTGACAGCCAACACAATATCCCCCACCTGAAGCCCTGCTTCCTCAGCCGCACTGTCTAGAAGCAAATAGGAACAAAGGATTTTATTTAGGGAAGGTACTACAATGTATATAATTCTGTTCCATTCGAAATAGTGTTTGTATTTTGAATTATAAACTTCTCTAATATTTAACAGAAATCTTAGAGACTAACAAATTTATTAGAGCATAAGCTTTCGTGGGCTACAGCCCACTTCTTCGGA